TGACACAGTCCAGAAATGTTAGTAATTTTTTTTAGAATAGAGTGAGAGGAAATATCCAGATTAGCAGGAATTAAAAGAAATTGCTAAACTAAATTATAATACTGATTTACGTATTTTTATCTTACACATTACTTATTTTTATCTTATATATAGATATAATAGATATATAATTAAGAAAAAAAAAACTAAATATAATTTAATATTACAGAATGATTGTAGGAAAGTTTCTCACTAGCAGAATACCTTAGTATACGAGTTAAAAGCCAATTTCATGTGAAAATTAAACCATTTACAGACTGGAAATACGAATGATTTTTCAAATACTGAGAAAGAAAGTATTACTTTTGGAGAAAAAATATAGTGTTACCTCTTTATTGTCCTTCTAACCATACAAGTCAACACGAGAATGTAGAGAAGTTGTAAACAGAGCTATTTTCAGGTATAAAGGCGAAAAATAAAAATTTCATCTTAAAGTACAGGAAACGTAAGCCATTTCATGAAAAATAAATCTTTTATGAAAATAGAAATGCGTTTTATATAAATCAAAAATCCAAGCATTCCCTTCCGTAAAGGGTTATTTTGAACATACTAAAATTGCACATGATATCTAGCAATAGGATCGCTATCGAGTCATTCATTGCTTATTTGTAGTGTTTGAAAAGAGAACTGACTTTTCTATGGGCGCATCGTGATATATTTTTGCGATCGCTTACTTCAACAATGCATGACCACTGAATAACAATCGGTGAAAGCTTCGTTTTAACAATGCGAGAAACCCGTCCAGTTCTTCTTCGAAACCTTCAGTTGTTATTCAATGTGATGTTTTCATCTGCGCAGGCACCAGAATATGTGTGATTAGAGACGCATAATGGAGTACCTCTGTCACAAGCAATCTTTTCATACGCATGTCTAAAGACTTTTCAGACTGGCAGGTTTTTGTTAAGGAATTTATTCGGGTTATTTCTCAATACTGAGCTGTATGTACTTGTAAGTATGTGCGTAAAAACAGAAAAGAGATTTAGAAACAGTAAAGGTCTTCAATAGATACGGTATTATACCCAATTTGCTTGGTAACTATTATCTTCGTTTCAATTTTTGCTAAGGCTTCTTCCAAGCTTCTGAGCCCTTCATTATTGAGAAGTAATTGTAAGGTTAATGATATTTATTCCTAGCAAATTCATAAAAATAAAAAAGTTTAGAAAATTCCCTCCCCTGTGACGTATGAAGGGCAAATGATGTAATATTCTTTCGAAATTCAGAACAGATTTTTTTTTAACAATTTAAGCGTCAATGTAAGGTTAATTTTGCCAAAATTCTGAGACAGATTTTGGTTAATTTACAAATTAAAATATTATTTCAAAGAAGTTTTTTGACTCTACCCTCCTCCCGAAAAAAAAAAAAAAAAAAAAAAAAAATCATCGAACAAGCAAAGCAAAATATCACTGAATTTCACTGAAAGAGGAAATATAGATATAATTCAATAAACGAAATGGAGTATTTATAAAAAAACAAACCAATATACATTTAATTTAATCTAAAAGCAGCAGAAATTTAAGGATACTTTTTCAACAAAGTTAAAATCATTTCAGATGTGGAATAAGTTAGAGTTTAGTGTCAAGCATTTCAGAGGAGTAAATATGAAAAAAATTATAAAATTATTAACTAAGTTGTACTACAGAAAAAAATAAAATCAGTATTAAGTAATAAAAGGGATTAAAACATGCATGAGTGTTTTATTTGATATATTATTTGGAGCTCTAAAACAAGGCAAAAAACAAAAATAAATAAATAAGTAAAATTTGAAAGCTTTCAGATTTTATATTATGTCCAAATGGGTGTTTTTCATTTAAAAGCACATACAGGTTTCGAGAGCATAATGTTCCTTTGGGCTGAAAATATTTAAAACAGCCTATCTTTATAATTTCCAATAGACAGCCTTACGCGTTGGAGATAAAAATATTTGTTTCCGTACAGTGTTGCCATTGCTCGCTTTGAAATCGTTGAGTTTGTTAAATCTAAAATTCGTTAAAGTTTTACAAGGTATGAAATACACAATAAAAATACGAAATTCAAGATTCGATCTTCCAAGTGCCCATATACGAGGGGAGGAGAATGTTACTGAAAATTTGATGTCTCTAGGTACCGTTGTTTTTTCACACTGTGAAAAACATGTATACATTCACTATGTTGTACACTGTGACTATGTTATACATGTTACATGTTTTTCACACTGTGAACAACATGTAACAAATTCTTCATTATTTAATTTCTATAAATATAGTATAGGAGTAATATTTGGTGGAAACAATTTGAAAAGTAATTCAGACTTTTATAGTGATTCAACGCGAAATCCCGTGTTGAGACTAATAGCTCTTCTGGGCTAACGCTCCTTTGATCTAGAAGACAATACCCGAACATCGTTGTAATATTAGAATTCTGAAATTTGAAAAATCAAATGTTTCTGCAGTAATTTCCTACTGAATTTCAAAGGTACAGATTATACATAGGGAACCTTTAAAAAGGTACTGTGAAAGAAATATGTTTTTTGAAAATTCATGGAAATTCATTCATGTCAGATTTGATCCAAGTTTATATTAGTATTTTTTTACTAATATGCATTTCCTTGGCTACGCAATATGTGTTTCCGTATTCATTGAAATTCAATGATTTTTGTTTACTGTGATGGAAGTATGTGAAGTTATTCAAATCACATGTGAAATTTTTAATTAACAGATCTTGTAATTTTGTAAATGTTTTTCATTGAAAGTTCCAGTCTAGTAGTATTTTCAAATGTCGATATATTTCTGAAATTTTGTGGATTGTGGTACACTCATTTGCAGTTTTTCAAATTCTTGGATCTTGTAAGTTTCCAGATTTTATCAATAAAGTTTCGGGCACTGATATTTCAACGATTATTGTGAGAAACTGATGTGTATGTGTGACAAGTGAGCCATTTTGGTATCGTGTATTGGCTTGAAAAGTGAAATAAACAGAGAGTTTTTACAAAATAGCATTTTATTCCAGTTATCAAAGCTAACGGTAGTAGCATACCGATTTTAAAATTAGTCAACATTCTAGAATTCAAATTATTAATTTCCATAAGAAAAACTAACGGGTCTAGAAAGTAAGAAGTCTACAATATTTTTCCGGATTCAAATTGCGACTTAAAGAATTAAAATGATGATAATTAAAGATAAATCTAAGTTTTGTATTTAGTTAAAATTATATATTTATTTTTAATTAAAACTTTATCTTTAATTAAATTTTTAGTTCCTTCAGAAAGCAAGACTAATAGTCATCTGCTAAAAAAAATAATAAAATGAGTGTGTTACTAATAGGGGTATATATATGTGAGTTAAAAATGTTCGCAGCAGAAGTTCATAATGTATATCTTTTTAATAAAGCTTATATTAATGTTAACAGTATTATTAAATGTAAATTATGTATATCTTAATTCTAGTTTTATTAATATTTATATCATGTGTATAACATAATTCATTCAGTCGTTACAATCAGTATAATCTGTTATAATATGAGCAATGAATTTCATGCCGCGAATATTATTAATAATTTCCAGAAATCATAATTAATATAAGACGTTTAGATCATAAATAAAGCATATGAATGCCGGTTCTTTAACGACATGGAACTTGAAATGAAAAACTAAGACGAAGCAGAAAATTTTGAAATAAAACAGAAAGCAGGAGCTGTAGTCCTTTGATTAAGAAAATAATAATAATAAAAAAACAGGGGATTTAAAATGGAAGAATATGTATCTATATCCATCAAAATGTAGAAATTTTTAAAAGCTAGAGCTAACCTAAAGATGAATTCCGCCTAGTTTTTGATTTCCTTGTACGAAGTAAAGAAAGAAACGCGAAAAAATTTAGGTATCATATTTCAAGAAAAATATGCATTATGCCAGCTCTCGAATCTATTTGAAAAATGTTTTTGCTTGACATCTATACGCACGATCTGTACGCAGAATAAAAGACTCTTTTCCTAAAGCGAATTGTAAAATGGATTTCAAATGGATTCAGATGAGAATTTTTTGTGACGTCTGTACATACGTATGTATTTATCTGGTACGCATGTATTTATCTTGCATAACTTAAAAACGAATAGTCCTAAAACGTTGAAATTTTGATGAGACTGCTATAACATGTAGTTGTGTACCTCTCTTTGTGGTTGCAATCCCCAACTTCACCAAAATTATATATATATATATAATATGTACTCACTTTGTTATCCTGCTCGGTGAGCTCAATTTTTTATTCTTATATGTTGGTAAATTGTTGGTTTTGCTTTAAAAAATGATTGAATTATGTTACTCTTATGTTCCGGTTAATGTTTTTATGCCTTTTGTTAATGTGCATGCAATAGTTAGAATTATCAAAAAATTAAAAACTAAAACGAGTGTAAGTGGTACTAAGTCTAATGAAGCCACCATTTGTTTACATTTGAAACTTTTAGTAAAGTAGTGAATTAAGTCAGTTTCTGCACCAACTTCAGTGTCTTTTTGCCGAGTAGAGCCAAAACTAAACTTTCAATTTTGTGCATTAAAATGTCTGCCTTGTTACCCGATGGTCAAATTACTCCTATTTTGCATTAAAACTCCAATTTTAATTGTAAAAAATTTTTAAAGCTGATTTTAACTGTGTTTGGTGTTTTATGTTTTTCTGTATTTTACAATTTTGAATGAAGATGCTTTGAGCTGTTATGTATTTTTACCTTGCCGCGAAGTGAGAACTGGATTAATTGAATGAGAAATATATCTCTAATGAAATTCGAGAAAATAAGTTTAAATGAAACGCAGCAAAAAATGTGTATAATTTAATTGGCCGTACAAAGACCTCATGTGGTGTTCGCGTCAATTTTTTTTCCACAGTTCTCCTGTATAGTTTCAAAATGAATTTGCTTTATGCTAAGTTCAATAACTTATATAAAATATGTTAAATATATCACCCTAGATTAAATCATTAACATTTTCTTTTTTTCAGGTAAATGAGAAGTTACAGAAAAATAAAAAGGATAAAGATATATGACATATTTTTTTGACAACAGAAAATATTCCGTCATTCAAAGACAGAAAACTTTCATCATCATTCAGACACAGAGCGAAGACAATACTCAAAGAAAATTGTCATCATACCTGTGACCGCGATGTTTACTTTGCTTTTTTTATTCTACTTAAAAACAGGCTTAGGTTGTATTTATATTAAACAGAGATTTGCATTTGAAATATAAGTGTTATGCATTCTGTACGTAAAAAATTTAAATAGAAAAAAATATCTGTGTTGATACATGTGAACAAAAATAGAGAAATGAATGTAGAATTATGGAAAAAGGAAATAAAAGACAGGAATATATTTTTCCTGATGTATGTGTTATTGTTTTCATTTCAAGTTGAACATTTTTTATTCTTAACTAAAACAGATTAAAATCAATTAAATGATTAAGTAATTATTTATTATGAATATTTTTATTGCGTTTGTTAGTACTCAAACTTTCGAATAATAACTATGAGTGTATTAAAGAGAAAACTGAGCTATATTGCAAAGAAAATTATGTTTACAAAAATTGTAATGACAGTGAATTAGTAATAGATTTATTAACGATTTAAAAAATGATTCAAGACTGCGATGCAGTTCATTAATATATTATTATTATTTAAATCAGGGATAACATAAAAGAAAACATAAAATCTGGAAAAAAAAAACAAAAAAAAAAAAAAAAAAAAAAAAAAAAAACAAGCCCGCACAAACTAATGTGACAATAAACAGATAGCTCAGGAAAATAAAAGGTATAGTATGCACAACATAAAGTGAGGGAATTTTAAGAGTTTATATTAATACAGTAATATTTTTCTAAAGGTAATGTAATTTGCCATTAAATTCTGTTTCTTGTCAAAATTTGCATGTGAAAAAGGCTTGAGTGTAGTATACACATAATTACCGAATCAGCTCAGTCTTGAGGGGGAAATATTTAAAATGTTCAAAATTATAAAATTTGGATGAATGTTAAATCAATATTGTTCTTCCATAACATTTGTTGGAAACATAGCAAAATTCATCATATAGGCATTCCACTATAAATGTCTTATAAGGTATTTTCTTCTTCTAGTACGCCTTTGTGGTGTTGCGGTAGCGCGTATTCGAGAGGTCCATGTTCGAATTAAGGCGAGGGCATTGCTCATTTTACTTACGTCCTGCTTTAAAAAATAAATCTAATGACTCTACAGTGGCGCCCAAGCATAAAGGTGGTGGACAATAATTCGTCTCTATCAGGATTTGGTGATTGGCCCCCCTGTCGCCCTTTAAAAGGGGGAGTATATAAGGCATTTCTTCCTCCTTCCAGCATGTCTTCGTGGTGGAACAGTAGCACACTTGACGTGTATTCGCGAGGTCCAGGTTCGACTTTCGGAGAGGCATTGCACATTTTTCAAATTCTCTTTTTAAAATAACATTATGTCTCTAGAGTGTGTTTCAGAAAACAGCGTGTTAATTCTATAAAAAACTTAAATTTATTTACGACTAATAAAGTCTTATTTTAACTTGATTAACTTAATTGATATAAACTAATTGAATACGACAAGACACACGATGATTTTCTGAAGAGAAAGCTATGTCTTCATGAAGGAGTCCACCAGCGACCGAGCGGTACGTCGCTGAACACTGCTAGTTTTTTTAGTTTGATTCGATTCAAGGTGAACAGGCAGGCTGCACTGGCGTTTTCATGTCTTCCGTATGCCTAACGTGGATACGCGCTCATTTTCCTTAGAAAGCCCTCCACGAAGAACCCCTTCTCTTAGGCAGATAGCCCGATTGTGCTTTCCCAAACCAGCCTTCACAGAAGAGTTCTCGGGGAAATACTATCGAAACAGATGAGGAACGCGGAAACAGCATCATTACAGATGGAAAATAACCATCAAAGTATTTATGTAGCCACGAGCTGTCCCGTTGGCATACCTGCCCTGGTTCGTCATGTAGAGTCATTAGGTTTTTTCCGATGCTGGAGATGTGAAAAATGTGCAGTGCCTTCGCCGAGACTCGAACCTAAAACTCTCGAATATGCGCCGAGTAGCAATGAGTAGTTATACCATGAAGACATAGAGAAAAGAAAGAATACCTTATTGCCATATCATTACTCAACATTTAATGGACCTGACTATTGGTAGGTCACCTGATGTGTAAAATAACGTTACTCCACTGTTAGTCTTATTTGAAATAAAAACATTTCAAAAGCTCCATGTAGCTAGAAATAGTATAAACGTTTCTATTGAAACAAAATAATAAATGCTATTACAATAGAAATCTTCAATGATATTTCGATCACAGCAAAGTTCGGACGCAGGATTCATCTGCCTATAATTTCAGAAAACACTTAGCGTGTTAATTTTATAAAAAAACTTAAATTTATTTACGACTAATAAAGACATTTTAACTTGATTAACTTAATTGATGTAAACTGATTGACTCAAAGTCCATAAAAAATTAAATTATTAAGACATGATTAAATACTGAAAAATAAGAGATTAATTCTCACTAGAGGTACAAGGTATTTCTCCCGCCTTCTTAGCATGCCTTCGCGGTGTAGTGGTCAGCACGCTTGACGCGTGTTTGAGAGGTCCGCGGTTCGAGTCCCGGCGAGGGTATTGCTCATTTTTCATGTCTCCTGCTTTTCTAAATAACCTAACGTCTCTACAGAGGGACTTTTCTAATATTTGGAGGGGTTTCGGAAAAGACAAATAACCCAACATTCGATCATAAATATCATTAATGCCACTTGAAAAATAACATAAGCTAACAAACTCAAACGTTTTGGCTGCGCAAATAGATCATTTTAACAAAACCGCTTATACTGAAAACGAGATAGGAAGGAAAAAGCACCTAAAACGTGACATTTCTTAGACATAAGAGTGAGGTAACTCTGGCATAAGAGACAAAAATATTCTAATTTTGTCAACCTATAATTCTAGCTATGTCAGAAATATGCTGATACTTCAGAAATTCCTATTCTAGAATAGAATTGTAGCTACGTCAGAAATACTGATTAGATGACAGCTTTGTTCAACGCAGAGGATAACAAAGTTTACTCACCTTTTAAGACATATGTGTTGTTTAAGAGCTTCAAATTTATCAGGCACTTAAGTTTCATTTATGTACTAAATAATAATTTAACACTCTATATAATAAAGGATTGCATACCTGAAAAAGTATAGAAAGAGATTTCAAAAAAGCTGCAAGACTCAACATTTGTTAAATGAATCATAGAAGAAACAAACCTCTAGTTTAAGAAATAAATCGAAAACATTTCTGTAGCTCTTAGCAGAAAAATTGTAAATAATAAAAGCAGTTTTCGTACCCGTCTTTGTGAAACAAAAGAGCTCCATTCCTTACAATGAGATTACCACAACTATCGTTATAAAACACTTTCAGAAATCATTTACATAAAAGAATCCGAATGATAAATGCTTACCATTCGATTTTTCGACAGCTGTAAGTTTCAGGAAATTATTTTTCATTCTAAGATGGAAAGGGAACCGGCTTAACCTAACTATAATTTAATTTCCGCCCAACGAGGATAGTGGTTAGTGACTCTAACTGCCGTACCGAAGCGCCCGAGTTCAAATCCCAGAGAAGACATGGATGTTTATAAATGTATAGTTTCTGTGCTGCATGGGGGCGGTATAAATATTCGGCGAACCGAAAGTCCTCTCGAAAGGTTGTGGTAGGGAAAGAGGGTTGAGTGACTCTCGAATCCGTCCCCACTGCGGACCACAGCCCCCCCCGGAGGTTGATTCAGGAGAATTCCTGGGAAGTAATGGCTAGGATCTGTACTCAGGCAGTCTCAACCACGGGTATATAAGTTGACTTGACAGGACTAGAGCCCTAGTTCAGTCTAAGGTTGGTTCAAGCTTGGCAGGGATCGTTCTGGTACTATCGTGTCCGTTCCTTCGACTGTGGTGGAGCTACATTGTTAGAATTCCATGTGGTCCTGAGAGAATTGCCTCTGTTGATGAGGTCGTACGTCGCTAGCGTATCGAGAGATTGCCAGTGGGCGTCTGGAACCTCGATACTGGGCTGTCCATATCCTTCCTCGCTGCGCCACCAGGTGGACGCCTGGAAAAACTTAGTTTCTGTTCATGGCTAAAGTGGTTCCCCGTGCCTGATTTTCCAATATAGATTTTAAACGCCCTGATTTCCCAATGTAGATTTTTCTCTTCCCCACCTGGTGGGATCGTGGAATGTGAGTTTCTGGTCACCTCGTCGCCTTGGACTGCGGAAGAGGGGTCAGCTACGACTCCTTTGGAGCACCTTCAGTGACTTCACTGGCAAGCCGATCCCAGAGGACGCCAGGTAACGGAGTCTTTTTCCTCTGGTGTTTATGCGAACCACAGGCCAATAAACAATTAGGATGGAGTCAATCAAAGACTTTATTAGCCGAAATATTTTTTAACATAGTACTTCAAAGCATTCTAGTAAACTCAGCGAATATCCTAGGATACCATATAACTCGAGGAAGAAAAGAGTTCGCGTCCATTTGCTGCCCACCACTGCTCTACCGGTATAACCTCGACAGCCAGTCAGTGCCCCGGACACCTAAGTGAAAGCTCAATTTGGTGGAAACCTTTCGTCACCGTTTTATTCAATCGGAGTAAATCCTTCTAAGTTCCTATACATGGACATTAATTTTGTGAACGTTTTAAGGAGTTATAGTGCATATTCTGTACATATCTTCCCTACTTCCAGCCAGCACGGCAAGCCTACCAATGAGCGCAGCGCACAGGACTTCCATTTGAAAGATCTTTTCGAACGATTAAATCTTCTATCTAATGCATTTCCGGAAGCACGCCTGCTTAGCTGCATCACACGAACTTTACTTTTGTGATCATTTTGAATGGTGATAGTGTACATACTGTAAATACTTTCTTTTTTTTTTTACTTTATTGAGTTTTCTATTTAAGCAAGTTCCCCATTTCTCTTGATTTATCCACGTGTTCAGCACAGATCCAAAGAACATATATATTTTTTCCCTGATATTTATCTCTTCTGGAGAATTCTATCTTCAGCGCAAGTAAGGCCCATTTTGGGACTCGCTCATGAACTGGCAAGAGACGGACCTATTCCCCTGCTAAGTGTCTGTACACTCACCAAAGTATCAGAGTATCGTTCCCCTTCCATAAAAACTGGGGGGCGGAACTGAGCAAAGTCGTACTGTCACGTATTTTGGTTCCCCTGTGGGGGTTTATTGAGGAGAATTCCTGGAAAGTACTGGCTAGGATCTGTACTTGGGCAGTCTCAACCACGGGGGTATATAATTTAAATTCACAGGACTAGAGCCTTGTTCATTCTAAGGCTGGTTCGGGCTTGGTAGGG